GAACGCGATGTCTCCCCTCGCCCTGGCCTCCTTTAACTTCGGCATCAATTCCCTTCTTTTCATCCTCACATACTCGGTGTAATCTTCATTTATGTAAATGTTAGATCCTTTGAGCTTCTTCGCTTGTTGCAATAACTGTGTCTTGTCTTTGTCTTTCATCAACTTCACCAATATCGCCCTCGGACCACGATCAGTATGTTTCCCGATTCTATGAGCCCGCTCCATCTCAATCTCTTGATGAATTTGCAGATTATTTTTCAGAATCTCCTTCACTTTACCTTCTGCCTCCAACCAGCTTTCTCCAGTTGTCTCCATGATTCCCTCAAAGATAAGGTTTTTTCGCTTGGACTGTGCTTCCAGATGCTCCATTCTATCCGTTATAGTCATTAAACTCTCACACGTTCTGTAAACCTCCTCTTTCGCTTCCTTGGCGTGTCTTTTCTGTTCACCCATGGCAGTCTTTATCTCATCCACCTCTCGCTGGGTAAACTGCAGACTCGTTTTTATCTCCTGTATTTCTCTGATCAATTCTTCGAATCTCTTGTTGTTTGTCTCCATAATCAGTTGCACAAAGCCTTTGAAGCACTCCTGCTGTTGGTTCAGCATCGTAATGAATGCTTCTCATGATCCACGACATCTTTAACTTGCGCCGCTCTGTGACATATTTCTTCTGTCTCCATATCATCCGTCACTTCTGATTTATTAGCTCTTTTCCCTCTTTGAGGCATTTAGCAGTTGTAAAGTATGCTCAAAGACTTGAAATATAGAACAGACAAGAGGAGCAGTAAAAACGTCTGCTCTCACTTGCAAACCCGGAAGTCAAGTGAAATTTTAATTCTTAATTTCCAAGAAAACTATTTTCATCCTTTTCATTTACAATACCTTTACAAGGATAGCTGTGGATGAGATAATGTAATGTGTAAAACAACTTTGGGTAAAGTGCAGAGACAAGACATCTTGTGTCACATATACCTGTACAGTACATGAACACACCACATATACATATACATATACATATACATATACATATGTATATTACAGCAAAACACACCCACACACAGAAATTCACTCTGGATTCATTATTGCAGATGAATGTTTATGAGGCTATTAATTGGAAACGAAACACTGAGACACTGTCATGTCTGAAATCAAATCCTGCTATTGTACTATGTACTTACTTCTAACATCCACCTGCTCCATGTTTTCACTGTTGTCGTTTTTAGCCTCACTGTTTGTGGATGTACACGATGAAGCTGAGCCTTGTTTGGTGAAACAGAGGCCATATTCCATTAGCACAGTAAATGCAGAAAAATATTTGGTATAAACAGTACACACTGAACAGATTACTATTGACCTTGTATATTTCACTTTTTGAGGGCTGATGTTTTACATTCAAGACACTCTTAGCCTGTTTGTACTCATGTGGTGAGACATAATTCATATTTGTGAACTGTGGTCTGTCTTCATTCATATCTGTGAAAAATAAAGTCAGTATACAAGTCCAATATACCACATCTGATCTGACATACTGTATGTCCTTGCTAGCTGGGGTTTCAGTACCTGCTGTGTGCTGCTGGGTGATATCTGTGTCTTGTTCTGCCATGTCTTCAAATTAGGACACTCAAGATGGTTAGCTGCATAAAACAAATCATAAATAATATTTTTATTCCTATCCCCGAATACATCCATTCGTTTTAGACAGACTCTCGTCACGTTCAGCTTCCAAATCGATGTTATAAACTGCTTACGTGGCTATTAATAGGGGTAGACTGAAAGTAAGTTTGTACTCTTTAAAATAATCCTCAAGTTTTCAAGTAATACTGGTTTATAATACACAAACCTATGCGGGGGTCACGTTTAGTAAAACTGCCAGTACAAAACAAACAATCAATACCAAACAGGAAGTATAGGAGTCACGGACTTGTCTGTTTTGATGCTTGCTAAAATATTTGGGCGCTAACTTAAGCTGAATTTACTGTACGAGCAGAGAGTAAGCAAAACAAAAACAAAGGCAGTTAGCATTTGTTAATTATTTAGCAAAATAACTAGCGGGTTAGCCTTAACTGTCAGATAATTTAGCTATGGTTAAGCTAGCCCCCGGCTGAGAAGTGCTAAGGCAGTTAGCAATGCAGTAGCATGTCTTTACCCACTAAGAACCGCATTAATGTATATTAATTAAAATACAGATAGCAGTTTACAAATAATTTCTGGTTCTTACCACATGTATAGCCGATCACATCGCCGAGGAGTATGAACCGTTTAGCTAGTTAACGTGTCCTTATCTTTCTACAGTAGGTCCGTGTGTCGCACTGACAAGCGGAACGTTCAACCGTGCCCCTGTTTCTGTACAAATAGTTTCCGGACATCAATAGCGTACGGTCACAAAATACATCCCCTAAGATTTACGGAAATACAGTCGCTTGTCTGTATTAGTGGACACGATGTTTTGTCGTATTATTTAATTGATGTTTCTGGCATCGCTCGGTCGAGTTGTAAACATAAATGGATTCCAAAGCTTCTGAAAACAAGGTTGCTCGCCCCTTGAGACGATCGACACGGCCGTCATCAGTTAGAGGTGAGCTAACGGACTAGCGTTATATGACAGTTAGCTAGCGTTAGCCCTGACTTTAGCTCACTCAGTTTAACAACAGAATGAATGAAATTCACACTTTGATTATCTTTAGCTGACTTTATTAGTGAGCAATGTTCTTAGACTAAAAAATTGCCATAAAACGAGCTTTACGTTAATGGCTAGGAATTTCTTGGTATTTTATGCAGTAACGTTGACGTTACAGTGGAGGGCAGTCACATACTCATTACTGTCTCAATCATTTCTTTCTGTTCATTCTTTAGTATTGAGTTATGAAGCAACCCCCAGGGCTCCTCTTAAGCGAACCAAAAACATGGGCTTAGAAAACCATGCTCCTGTTGCAGGTGACAGTGGATCCGGAGTTGTGGAGAATGGCTCAGAGGATGAAGGTAGAATGCTCCAGTTGGCCCTTTTTGCGACAGCTTAGTTAAAATGATTATTAGCCCTCATTATGCTCTGTTTAAGTCAGTGTAAACAACCAAGATTTATTTCATACCTAACAGATTCTCCTGGCAAGAAGAGACGGCTGGAGACTGGGAGAGCAGTGGGCGGTAGCGGTGATGCGAATGAGATGGATGTCCAAGAGTCAGTTGAGGATATGGAACACAGTCAAGACCCGGGATTGGATATTGGGCAGGATTCCTTTCATGGCTTTCAGGAAAAAATATGCCAAGGTTAGAACTGCAACTCATCATTAAATAATTGATAACTGATTTTATTAACTGTCTGGTAAAATGTATATATTTACAATGCTAAAAAAAAAAAACCACAGGCAACAGATTCTCACATTTGAGAAGATGGAACCAGCCAAGGTTTGATTTGAGACATCAGTTATCAAAATTGTGGTTGATACATTTTCTGTAGATTCACTACCAGGTTAATCAGCTATTTGTTCAGCACTAGTCAAGTAAACAGTGTCTATGGATGTGCAAAAAACAGGTCTAGCAATCCACTTTCACTTTCTCTTTCATCTTATGTATGTTTTTGTATTAGCTTGTGAAGATGAGAAATTTAGCATTTACATCCCACTAAGGGCCTCATCACTTATTGATTATATGTGGCAGAGAAATGGCACAAACACGTTTATGTGTTTTTGTGTGTTTTAATGCATGCAGGTGCTATGAAATAACAAGTGTGACATATTTTCTGTAGGTGTATTCTGGGTGTTTTACTATGACATAAGTCTTGCCAATATCGGATCTAATCATGGGCAGTTGAGCGTTTTTATTTTAATCACAGTTTTCCCTCTGTGTAAAACAGACACCATTGGGGATGTGAATTTATCACCTCGTGTAGTGCTTGGGGAGCGCTGCCGATCTGGTCATGATGTAGCTGAAGATGCAGACTGGATGAAGACCAAGACAGGTATAATGTAGCCCCATTCTGCATGGGGATGATTACATTATGGGAGGATAATACAGCTGTTCTAATCTGGCTTATTTGTTTTTAGTAAAACCATCAACCAAAGGACCTGCAGCCATCACCAAGCCTGCCGTGCAAGACAGATCACTGGTGAATAGACATGATGTGCCAGTCCCCAGAAGCATGGCTGAGTACAAGAGGACGATGGAGGCCAAAGGCAAGAGCACTGGTATTAGAGATGTATTTATTTTACCAGATTTTAGTCAAGATACTTAAGTTGAGCACTTGTTCAGTAGATTTGCATCTCTAAAAATGGTCAGATCTTTAAATTAATACATTTTTGTCTCAACCTTAGTTACACCCAGAGTTAACCACCATGTCACAATTCTCCCGGAGAAGTCTTTCACAACGCGACAACGTTTTAATAACATTCCATTGCAAAAAGAAACTGTTCAGCGCAAGAAACAAGGTATTGCGGCTTTAGCTAAATATTATAGTTCTTATAACATCTATAACATCTAATGACTTTATATTGACACTGATTTGTCATTGATTTAATGAGATTTTCTGTCTTAGAAGGGACAAAGAAAACTGTTGTCATCAAGAGAAGCTCTGGATATTCTTCTAAAGGTAAGGCATAATTACTTTAATTACTTTCTCTTTACATCCAGAAGTTGGGAAGAATCATTCTACATTATGTGCTATACTGCATTTGAACATGATTGTGTGTGCTTTCAGGATTCATGTGGTATTTATGTTGTTTGGTTCTCCTGGTGCTGCTCAGTTCTGCTGCCTTGCTGGCATACAAGAAAATCCAAAAGATTGGAGATCATGGTGGGAAATCATTCAGGTCTGCAAAGGCAGACAAGTTTGCAGATCAGTTGTCAATTCTTGAGGCTCAGTTCCCTAGTCAGCGGCCTGAGTTGTGGAATAGGAGCAGGATCCACCTGCAGAGGCACTTCCAGACAGCCCAGCCCACAGAGCCGGTGAGTCTGATTCTAACTGCGGGCCTCCAAGCCGAGAGGACGCTGCACTGCCTGGCTCAGGGCCTGGCCTCTGCCTTCTCCTCTGCCCTCAACGCCTCTGTCCTCCACATTGATGGAGCCAGCAAAGCTGACCAGGACAGCGATGAGGTGAAGCTGGACATTGACAGCCAACTGCAAGCAGCCTTTGAGGGAGACAAACCTGTTGCAGTCATTCATCGTTTTGAAGAGCTGCCTCCAGGCTCCACACTTATTTTCTATCGCTACTGTGACCATGAGAATGCTGCATATAAGCGGGTGTTCTTGTTGTTTACTGTGCTGCTGCCTCAAGATGAGGTCAGCAGAGAGCAGAGTCTGAAGGATGTAGAGGAAATGGTGCAGGACTATGTCAAGAAGAAGCTGGTGGGCTCCAGCAATCAAACAGCCTTCAATAAGATGGACACTGACAAGTATGGTGGACTCTGGAGCCGCATCTCCCATCTTATCTTGCCTGTGGTGTCTGATAAGGAAGTAGAGCAGAAGGGATGTTCATAATCCAAGCTGGCATCCCAGAGGGATACCACAGTGTCAAGAAGCTTTAAGCTTCTTGACACTGTGGCAGGAGCTATAAAGCTGAAAAGTAAAATTGGACTAACATATGTATTCATATAGACTTCATTTGAATGGTTTAAAATTGGTATTGATATCTTGGGGTCAGAAATAAGCTTCTACTCAAGCAAGCAGTCCAGTGTTTGATTCAGTTTCAATTACAAGATATACACTCGGTTTTTGCATACATGTGCAGGCTTTGTGTAAGGATGTAACACTCGGACCATCATTCCACTTCTAGTGAAGGATATTAAACACACATTCCCATGCAGATTTAGTAGATAACATATACAAAGTATAGTCTGATGTATTTGTTTTCTACATGTTTTGTGTTATAAGTGTGTATAGATAGGACGTTTTTCAACAGATTTTAATGTGTATTTCCAATCTAAGTGGTCAGCATGGATGTCACTGGGTCTTTATTTGGAGCATTACAAAGTGTTTCATTTTCTGTAGACATGCATATTTCTTGTTTTGTTTAAAAAATCCCCAACAACTGATGGCTTACTTTATGTTGCTGTTTAATGTCCCTGTGGAAATGTGTGTTGCTCCATTTAATTGCTCCGTGTGTGCAATTGGATTGGTTTTGCACTAAAATTATTTGGTTTTCATTTAAGTGTGTATATTATCAAGAGTTCTGGCTTTTAATTTTTTGTTTTATAGTATTTTATATTTGTTCTTTCAGAATGTGTTTTTGTGATATATTGTATCTTGTAGTTTAGAATATTTTTTGATAGTTGTGTTTGTACACATGCACATACACACATATAGAAATATAAACCACTGAAGGGTACTTGAAGCATCATCAACCTAAAAACATATGTTCTCACTAAATAATTTGAATTTGAAAATTGATTTTTACTCTTATCACAAAATGTGCCTTAAACAGTCATATGGAGAAGACAAGACTATATTTGAAGTACCAAAACAGCCATTTGATACTGTATCTTCACAACAACAACAGAACTCCAATGAGGTTTCTTGCTCATACATTTTTAAAATTTTGTCTAATTTAAATGTATCATAAAAAGTTTTCTTTCCTCTGATGTCACTCATTCTTTTAATGTTGTCACCATGAGATGAATTTTCTGTTGTTTATATAAACACCTGGATATTTTTCAATAAAGATTATTTTGATAACTAACAGTTAATTATCTAAACCATGTTGTGCTTAGACTGGGTATGTATGTTTTAAATTTCTGAAACAGTGGTATAGAAGTCCTCAGACTGTATAGCACTCCTGCTGACAAGAGAGCTGTTTTTGTAAAGTAGCCTTAACGTGATACTAACAGTGTTACAACACACTAAATGTATTGTATCAAGTTTAGGAACAAGGAAGTTACCAAGTTCCAGTTAAGAGATGTGACTTGGATGTGAGATGTGAGATGTGATTATCATTAAGAAGCAGTAGAGTTCAAAGGTTCACTTCACAACTGCATGATTTTTACAAACCCTTACTGTCTAACTTCTCCACATCAACCTATCAAAGTCTGTTTTTTTTGTTTTTTTTTTTGCTTTTCTGAGAAGTGGTTATGAAATGAACATTAATGCCAGATGGCGAAACGGTTTCAGTGCGGTGAATAAACAAGGAAGTTACAGCAAGTCATTTTCCAAGGAACTGATAAGCATGCTTTCTTAACATGGTGGAGGTTTAATGACTGACTGAGTCAACAGCCTGAAAGTTGACATACTGTAAATTGCTTGTTAATAATGAAAAATGATCAGTGAGTCTTGTTATGTAGACACTAAGGTAGCTAAAATGGCTGGGGATAAAAGATTAGAAACCAAAATATTTTTTAAGTTGCATGTATAAATGTTATGTTTCACTTAGAAAATAACTGATATATCTGTGATTTTACTTATAAACCATTTTGATACATGAACCAGAAACATAACAAAAACAGTCGGTTTTTATTGACTGATTTTTATTATGTAGAATTAAAGACAAATTATTGATTGAACTGTCTATTGTCAAAAGAATTTTTAATAAAGCAACAAAGTCAGTGGAATCTTTTTAAGTAATTTACTTTACTTGCCGCAAGGAGACAAGTCAACACAATAGTACAGAGTTGTCTGATTGAGCTAGGTTTCATACAGCATAGTAAAAAGGCATACCCTGATAACGCAATCTAGAAGATAATCATACTGGAACACATGTTTAGCCTGTGTTGTGCCTCTCTTCATCTTGAACATCCTGTAGTTGAGTATATCACAGCACACAGAGTTTCACATGAAAGACAGAAAATGTCCTTCAGGCCTACACAGCCAGTTTCTCACATGGCTCTGTTCTGAAAGTTTAAAACACATTAAATAGCATAAATCATGTTTAATAACAGAATTTTTCATAACATCTATTAAAGTACCAAGGAATATTAATATCTTGATATTCAAGTTTTTTATATTCTTACACACTGAACAATGAGAATTTCCATGGCATCGTATAGTCCATGTAATACATCAGTCCAGCATTTTCAGATTGGGCAACTTTATTGTTATTTTGAATCAACACTTATTTACAGCTCAAGTACCAACCAGAGAAACACAATGTTGCAATATGTTTTAATGACCTTTACAAAAGCTACGCTTTGTAATCACTAATGAATAACTTTAAAATGTATGATAAAATATAATATATAAAACTAAGCATCAACATTCCAACACATCTTCATGTGTCTTGGTGCAAAACCTTATTATTTTTCTGAACACCCAAATATTCCAACAATGATAGCGATATTGAAAGCCATGGCTCCAACACTGATGATCGCTGAAACACCAACAACAGTTGCTTTGGCTGCAGTGAGCTGCTTCTGAAATTCAGAGATGCATAAATGGGCATTGTTACTGTAATGCATGATATTTTATGTTATTAACATGTTACATTGTCATCATGTGACAGGCTGTCACCTTTTTTCTCTGTTGTGTTGATCTCTGTTGTGTCAGTCCCTGTAGAGTAAATTCCTCACTATTTTGTGAACCGCCTGTAACAGAAAATAGTGATCATTATGCTCTTAATACAAATCCATAATATGTTTACTGCTTAGTATGTTCAAACAGCTACACACTGCTATAAGTCATTCACCTGTTGTGTGTCTGCCCACTGTTGTTTGGCTCTGAATACTGGCTACAAAAACCCAGATTATGGACAGGAAAATCCATGCTGTGTCAGCGGCCATCACTTTTATAAGCCAAGACTCTTCGATGTTCTTGCTGCAGTTGTCAGTCTCATACACACCGATAAACGTGACAGCAACTGTGTGTAAAACAGATTTAGAAATAAATCATTACAGTAAACAGGCAGTGACAACTCTGTTAAGATAGTGCAAGCTGTGACATCAGTTAGCATGCCTATGCTGTTTTAAAGATATAGTATGACATAAACAAGATATACTGTGTCAATTAGTGAGGTGTTGTGGTGCTCCTAGGCAGACTTTGTTGCCCTCAGACAGAGCCAGGCTAGCTGCTTCCCCTTGTTTCCAGTGCTTGTGCTGATCTATGCTACCTAGCTTCATAGTTACCATCCAGCTAGCAAAGAGGTATCAATCTTCTCATCTTACTCTTGGCAAGAAAGCAAACAAATATATTCCCCCAAATGTCACATTATTACTTTAAATACAGCAAGTCTTTTCAAGTGAAAAATGAATGCTCTGTAAGTTTAGAATCAAATGAATTTCCATACTTGTAAAAACCACATGAATGACAGAGCACACTTTGACAGCAAGGTTACACATCTTCTTCCTTGAACAGAACAAAAGAGATACAAAACCAGTTGTACACAACGTGTTGATGTAAGGGTCAAGTCAAACATTCGGTCAGAGGAAGAGGAGTTAAACGTACAGTTCAAGACTGGGTCCCCATGGCACAGAGACGATTACCAGCTCAATGAAATTAATCACTAAAACCACACACACAAGAGCAACAAGTGTAACCTAAAACACACAGAGACAGACATAGAGACACACATGTTAAAAATAACCACAGAACAATTAAAAATGTTGACATAGACATACAGAAGTGTTGTACATCAGTAATTATTACTCACTTTATTGGAATCTCCTTCATTAAACAATACCAAAGCCGCTATTTCCGTTGCTGCACAAAGTACACCGCACAGTATTATTAGCCCCTACAAAAAACAAACAAACAAAAATCCAGTTTTAATTATTGTAATAAACCTGAATATTTAGTGTTCATTTAGTCTTTGTCTTCGAAGGCACAGATACATAAGCACAGCGTACTGGCTGAGCCTATACAAATGCCATAGAGCATATAACTTATGCTGATTGGTTATATGTTGAAACCCACTAAACAATGGAAACAGAGGAATTCAGAAAATATATGCAGTATATGCACTAAAACAAAATACAAATAATAAACTGAAATTTGAATTACAACCACAAACTAAATAACACATTTCTGATACTGTTTAGTCATTTAATGTATTTCAATTGTCTCATTACTTCGCTCTGTAGTAATTTTTTTTACACATAGAGATGGGGTGTGCCGTTTTAGCATCTTGGCAATTCAAAGTACTGTATATATTGTACTTACACAGGAGGGAGTCACTGAAACAATACCAGTATGCTGGATGAGGAACTCTAGAAAGTGGAACAAAAGCCCTGCAACTCATGCCTTACCTTATTTAGAGGGTGAAAAACTGGGCTGTTGGTGAGAGTGTTGTCTATATTATACAGTCCCTGCAGACACAGAGTGACAGAGCATTAAATCGTCTTGTATCACAATGATAACCACGCCATGCCTTTGGTAGGGCCATTGTTTAACAGCAATTACTGGGTGACATGAGTTTATATACTGTACCATTTTCATGACCACGAAAACACAGTCGAAACTTGTCATCGTAATACCTGCTCGCTGAGGAGAAATCAAGAGAAAGAAGGATTCGCTGTGTAAATAAAACTGAGGAAGTTTTTATATTTATACATAGATTTTTGCACAATGTCAAAAATGTAAATCAAATCCACCTGTGTGTCCCTCCTTATTGGCCTGGATACTTGTCCAGTAGGTGAGGTACTAGATGCAGTACTTGCAATAGAAAGTAAACTTGGCTCTGTAGTACTTGTTGTAGTACTTGGTGTTGTGCTACTTGTTGACATATTTGATGTTATGGTACTTGTAGCACTTTGTGTTGCGGTTGTTGTTGTAGTATTTAGAGTTGTGGTCCTTTTTGAGGTGCTTGGTGTTATGGTACTTGTTGTAGTGCTTGGTGTTGTGATACTCGTAGTACTCGGTGTTCTGTTACTTGTTTTAGTACTTGCCATTGTGCTGCTTGTTGAAGTATTTGGTGTTGTGGTACTTGCTGTAGCACTTTGTGTTGCAGTTGTTGTTGTAGTACTTGTTGTTGTAGTATTTAGAGTTGTGGTCCTTTTTGAGGTGCTTGGTGTTATGGTACTTGTTGTAGTGCTTGGTGTTGTGATACTTGTAGTACTCGGTGTTCTGTTACTTGTTTTAGTACTTGCCATTGTGCTGCTTGTTGAAGTATTTGGTGTTGTGGTACTTGCTGTAGCACTTTGTGTTGCAGTTGTTGTTGTAGCACTTGTTGTAGTATTTAGAGTTGTGGTCCTTGTTGAGGTGCTTGGTGTTGTGGTACTTGTGGTTTGTGGAAGTGGGGTGGAAATCACTGAGGTCCAGTATCTTGAAAAAGTCTGAAGAAATGTGGCTCTGAAACATGTCAGACAGGAACAGATGTTAATGTAATGCCTTATGCACTGCACTGTAAGATAAAATAAATCTGGAGCAACTTAGTTTTGGAGCACAGTCAAAGGGTATGAATACTTTAAAAGTAACCTGAAAACGATGTCTGAGTTTTCTCCCTGTGCTGTCCAGTTAACGCTGATTGAAGTCTTGTCGAGATTGTTGTTGTTACTAACAGCTGAGTCCTGAAGAGAGTGACAGACAGCTCTGATGACTTGAAGTTAATTTGATTGTCACTGTAACTGACATGGGAAGTAGGAATATATCAATATTAACTGTAAAAATTATGAATTTGGACAGTTGCTTACTGCTGATCCATTACAGCCCAGGAGTTGTCCAAAACTAGTGTCAAGCAAGATAAATCTTCCAACAGGACGGTCTTTATTCTTTTGAGCTTCCAACATAAACCCCCGAAATGCCACTGATGTCTTGCTTTTGAGAAAAACTGTAAAATTATTTGAAGATTGATCAGGGTGAAAGTGAACTGACAGAAAATGAAGACAGTCATAGTAATACCCTTGCTATAATAAGTAAATGACCAGTGCAACAAAGACTGATAGTGACAGACAAGCTGCCAGGAAAAGGGGACCAAGAGTTTGCATACCTGTAATAGGCTCTCCCCTACTGACAGGTAGGGTCCTGACCTCAAAGGGTGCTTCAGTGTTCTGTGGAGGAATTTGTTTGTTGTTGTTGTCCAAATGTACAGGTAACATTGATGTACATGACTGTGGGAAATTTCCATTTGAAAACCCATGCACCATTGTGAGGATATTAAGGCCAATCACAGTCCACATCCACATCTGTAAAACAAGTGTGCAATGTCATCTGTAAATGCCATAAGCCAAATATGAACATGTACTTTTTATGCTTCTTCATCAACATGCAGTCACTGAGAATTATTAACCTTAGCCTGAAACACTGTTACAGTGATAACCAGCTAATGCATTAGTACCATAAGTATCTGTTTAGTTTTTTACTACACACTTCAAAGAGTATTTATATTTCAAGCACTATGTCTGGTGAAGATCACAGACTGCTCATCACCTGGCTAATTAACCCTAGGGTGAAACATGGGGGTGTCAGCAGGGACAGGGAGGCTGGTCAGAACTAAGGGAAGGATGAATTCAGCCAGAAAGGCACGTGAAGACAACCTGCTCCAAAGTGCGTATACAAAGCTTGCAAATGGTCTTATACTTGTTTAGTGCTTTTCCATGAATTTAAGCACACTCAAAGCACTTTCACCAAATTTGGATCACAAACATTCCCACACTCACACTCTGGTAGACAGCCACCGGGATCAACTTGGGGTTCAGTGTCACACTCAAATACACTTCAACATGTGGACAGGAGAAGCTGGGAATCAAACCGCCATCGCTCCCTTTAGGAGGCAGCCCACTCTATTCCTGATACTCTAAGTGCAAATCTGTTAAAAAACATGTTTTCACTTTATCATTATGGTTTGTCAAGTGTATATTGATGAGCAAAATGGCAGTTTTATCCATTTAAAGCAAAATCAATAACACAGTAAAGTGTACAAAGGGTTTGAATGCTTTCTGAATCAACTAATACATTTTACAGTTGGCTTTCTTGGTTCCAGCACACTGGCTTTAAATGACAAAGATTAACAGTACTAGTAAAGGTGTTAAAGCTTTAAGGTTGTTTGGCAGCACCTACAGTGCCCTAATTTTTGAACAGTACAGTTGGACAACAACAGCACCACAGTTCCCACACTCTTCAACAAACATGGGTGTTAACACAGAATTGCTACAAATAATAAAATGTGTATATAAATTTCTTTTGAAAAATACAAATAATTTAAACATTAGGTCTAAAGGAAATAGCAAGAGTTTCAGAAATCTCTAACACTGAATATACAACTTTAAGATATCAGTGGTAAATAATCAAACATAGAATGATAGTAACAACTCTTTGCTCTTACCTTAAAGTAAGCCACTTGTATGCAATGTCCACTACCATCAAACCATATGATGTCAAATTGGACTCTTGGTGAAAAGATTATGTTCAAGTTGCTTTAAGAAAAAGAGAAGATGAATGAATGTCTTTGCAGACAGAGCTTCACCTTCCAGGACAGTTAGATATGTAATAAAGACTGAAGAGCAGAGCAACAAACTCAGTGACTGAATAAGGAAGTTAGAAGTGCACCCACCCACATGTACAAGTAAAGTGGCAAAATACAGTTTGCATTTACTTGTGATCAGACCTACCATATACCTCAGTTTATTGCTAACAGCGTACAGGCTCCTTATCTGCTCCTGTCAGTCTTCCTTGGGAGCCCTTTCATGATCGTTCTCAAATTAAACACCTTCACTGATTGTTTACAAAGTGTGTCTTTGTGTGCACATCTGGCTTCCGAGTCCTACTTCCGAAGGTAGAGTTACTGTTATATACTGTATGTATAGTACGTATAGCACATATAGCACAAGAAACCTCCTTCTTCGACTAGACTCTAGGAGTCCACAGTCCTTTTAATGCATCACTGTACTGTAATCACTGTACTGTAATCATAAGAAAGACATTGCCTGGCAAAATGTGACTCAGCCAAAGCATGATATCACTCAGGGTTAAGGAAGAAGAAACTCAATAGAAGGTGCTCATGTTGACATAAGGCCACACCTTCTGAAAGCAATATAGTCATAATACAAGATAGATTCAAGTCAGCAGTTCCAGTAGAAAAACAGTCCCTTGATGAAAACTTCAAATCAAAATAGCTGCTAATTGAAAAACAATTTATAATGACCTGAAAAAAACTTAGAAAAAAAAGTTATAAAATATAAATATATTACAATTCAAAGTTCTTGACAGTATTAATGATTCAACAAAGCAAAATATTTGCATAATAATGGTCACTGATCAAAAGGGGCAGTGCAACTTCTGTGCAATGGGTGTGTCCAGACTGATGTGTACCGCAAAAGCTGAGTGCTTGATGGCTGAAGAGGATCCACTGCCAAAAGAGAGAGAAAAAGAGAGAGAGAAACAAGAACAATAAAAAATACAGTTGTACTGTACTGTTGCACCAGCACACGGATCAGCAAATCTGATGCAATTCTGCAAAGATTGCACTGCATACTAAATGACTTCTTGTTATTTTTATGTGACATTTAGGTTTTGTTCTTTTTTTAATGTCTATGCTGTTTGCATAGTGCTTTATTTATCAGATTTTACACATTGCTCTTGTCTAGAAGAGGTGTCATATGAAGAAGTGTCTAAATACTGTTGTTGGCTTTGGTTCTTCTTACCATTGCTAACTCTGAGAGACGAGGCAGTCCAAGTAACTTCAAAACAATGCTGATTTATTCAAAGGATCACAGGTAAAATTAACATTACACACGCAGGCATCTTGCACCTCCAACCTGCACACAGGCAGATGTAAGATGAAAGACCCTGAACCCACCAGGCCTATACATTATATCCCTTCGGTTGGGCTAGCCCCATACTACACAGAAACACCAACCGGGACGTCTCTGTTGCCAGCTTTGCAGCTGGTCATAGCAGTAGTCAAAACATGAAGCAAATCAATGTGTGTGTGTCTGTTGATTAAGTGGTGTGTAACTAAAAACATTCTCACGACCTCTAGTACATGTCGTGACTTAAACATGAGAACATATTATGGCTAAGGCTACAGTTATACATGTTGTAATAATAATATTAAACACCCTGTCTGCTGACAGTCATCAACTCTTCTCTCTAGTTATCCTTGACCAGATGTACCCTGTAGAAACTCATAAGTATGACTAAGCATTTAACAGTCTAACTAGACATCCTATCTCCACTAAACATTTCTAATACATAAAGTATCTATCCAATTTCTATCTGACTAAAAATACCTAACACTGTCTAAATACAGATCTGGGCAGATTGAAAAGACACCAAGTTTTAAAATCCCATCTAGTTCTTTTTATAGCACAAAGGGACTAACAGATGCAACTCTGCCCTTCCGAACCATTCAAGGGCAAAATACATTTTGACATATTTAACATGATTATCCAGTCAGTTTTATTAAATTGAACACTTCCCCACATGTAAACCACATGAAAATTAATAACTGAACAGCTTAAAATTTGGATAGATTGTTAACATACAAGCATATTGTGTGAGTGTGTGACGGTTGAATTACTACTGGAAAAAAAAAAAGTGATAATAAGTTGTATCTACAGAGCACCTGGTGCCAGCATAGAAAAGTTTAATGAGTGGATGGAAGAAAATTACCTGACACTAAGTCATAAACTAATGTTCATATGTGGTGACTTCAATATAGATTTGTTAGATCCTAACAAGCACACAGGAACTGAGGAGTTTATTAACACAATATACAGATGCAGTTTATACCCAAAAATTACAAAACCAAGTAGAGTAACAACTCAGCATGCAACATTAATCGATAATATATTTACCAATGTTCTGGATAGTAAAATGACAAGTGGACTACTTATAAATGATATTAGTGATCATCTACCAGTATTTGTGGTTCATGAGGGCCAGTATAGAAAAGAAAGGCCTAAAACAAATTTTTTCTACAGGAGGGTGATGAATGAACATGCGGTAAGGAGGCTAAAAGAGGATTTCTTGGGGCAAAATTGGGAACCAGTTTACAGAGAGGATGACTTAGATAAAGCATATGAGAAATTTTTAAATATATTTAAGAATGTATACGACAGGAACTGTCCTCGTAAGCAGTATAAATATAAAAGGAATTACAGTGGGAAACGGTGGATAAGTAAGGGATTACAGAATGCATGCAAAAAGAAGAATGCGTTATACAAGAAATTCATAAAGGACAGATCAAAGAAGGCGGAAGAAAGATATAAGTCATACAAGAACAAATTAACTGCATTATTGAGGATATGTAAGAAACTATATTATTCTAAAGTATTAGAGGATAATATAAATAACATGAGAGGTACGTGGAATATATTAAATAAATTGATTAGAAACAGTTCCAGCAAGAGTAACTACCCTCAATATTTTATGGATAATGATACACAGGTCAATAAAATGGAGGATGTAGTTGAAAAGTTTAATAGGTTCTTTGTGAATGTTGGTCCTGGTTTAGCAAAAAGTATCTGTACAGATGATACATCCATCACTATAAATAATAATACAATCGAAAGGAACATGAGTTC